TTTCCCGACCTAATTGAAAACAACAATGAAATTTTATGGTAACACCCATTTTCATCAAGGTGAGGAGATACAGAAGAAAACGGTCAAAGAGTCATTCTAGAAAGCAGATGATTCACAGACACAACAACAATGTTCTCTTTGTCAGTGTATTTTTGAATCTCTAATGTTTGAGACTTGAATCCCCTTCAATTCCCAAATGTCGAACTTTGCACCTAAACCAAATAACTTCTAAAATCCTAATTTGAACTAGCGCAAAAATTGACAGCATGCCTACGAAGTCTTTTTTAAGATATAATTGTCTCTAAGCCAAAGTAGATCAATAAGGTTTCATATGCTACGTCCTCTAATCACATTTGATGTCCAGATTCTTCTATTGAAAAAATTTACCTCGTAAAAAAAATTAACTACAAGAAGTGTCTCCGCATTTAACACTAATTCAAGTTCTTCCTTTTCCCTTTTCATCTTATAAAAGTGAAGTGACATTCATAAGGAGTACCAAACACATCATTTCCAACAACTACAAAGGCATAGTAGGATTGAAAAGGAAACAACAAACAATGTACTAAGACTGACTCAAGCAGGGTATACAAGGATTCTTAACCAAATCTCCAATCCTTGGGATAACACAAAGGAAATGATATTTTTATTTATGTTAGCTAGTGAAATAGAGGGGAGAGAAACCATAAGCTAGTGTATTTCATTTTTCCTTCTTTTTTCGTCATTGACAGGATGCAACCTCAAGAAAGTAACCCTAGCTCATTTTGTTTTTCCCCTAATTTAAAAGGGCTCATAAATTAAAGATACACAATCTTGAGGGTATACATGGATCTAATTCTTGGACTGCAAGGAAGGAACGTCTATACATTAATCTAAATAGAACCTAGCATGCAGCAACATCCATTAATTTCTCCTATGATAATCCAAAATGCGGAGCAGAGTGTTGACCGGTCAAGAACTCACACGTTCAGAAGATGCAAGTAGCGAAAATGAAGATGCTTGGAAGGATGTGTGAGCATATAAGGAGAGATAAGATTAGGAAAGAAGATATACGGAGCAAGGTGAGAGTGGCCCTCACGGTGGACAAGATGCGGGAAGCGAGATTGAGATGGTTCGGGCATGTGAAAAGCACGAGCACAGATACCCTAATGAGGAGGTGCGAAAGGTTGGCAGTGATAGGTCTTAAGAGAGGTAGAGGTAGACCGATGAAAAACTGGGGAGAGATGATTAGACAGGACATGACACATCTTCAGCCCACCGAAGACATAACCCTAGATAAGAGAGCTTGGAGGCCGAGGATTAGAGTAGAAGATTAGTAGGTAGTCAAGCGATTTCTCTCTTTTTTACGGGAGAGCAGTGGTTCTAGTTTAGAGCACCCTCTTCTCTTTATCAGTATTATTATTATTATCCTAGTATTATTATCTTATTCTTCAATTTTATACAACTGTTTTTTTTTACTTTGATTAACTTTCCTATTTTGCTGGCAATACTTTTCTTTTCTTCAGTATTTTTATCATAGCTTTTTTACTTTTGTATTTTTCAAACCTGTTTTGAAAATTCTTTTCTTGAGCCAAGGGTGTATCGAAAGTAACCTATATACCTCACACAAGGTAGGGGTAAGGTCTTCGTACACCCTATACTCTCCAAACCCCACACGTGAGATCACACTGTTCATGTTGTTCTTGTTCTTGATAATCCAAAATGTAAGAAATATGTTTTCTTCTTAGCAGTTTTGGCAAAGAGAAGCAGCAATGCTGAGGCAACAACTTCAAAACTTGCAAGAGAATCATCGGTAAACTTTCTTGTTCTTTATCACATATATTTCTTCTTTCTGCTAATAACTTAGAATAAAAATAAGAATGTTTTTGCGTGTTAAGCAATTCAGGTATTTTCTTAAATTGAGTTCATGTTAGTCCAATGCAGCTTTTGAGATGTTTAAGCAAAATTATATCAGGAGAAAGTACCCAGTAATTTTCATTGAGTTCCGTACCATAGGAGTCAAATTGTTTCACAAGTGGAAATTTTTGTTCTTAGAATTGTTTTATTATTTAGGTGCTTAAATCTACTTTGTCTGCTATTTAAGTTATACAAGGAGCTTATATAGTGACTGAGCTACAACGGAAGAGTAGAGAGACACGAGTAATGTGCAAAGTGGTCTGTAAAAGACAAATGACTTCTGGACTTCGTTACAGAGAAGAAGGGATGGGAGAGATGATAACAATGATCCACTTTCTGATACCCATTATCAAGTTCTCAGTCTAGTAAATGGAATCCCAAAGGTTTCTTTGGAAGCTCAAGAGGTCTATGACAAAGTGATCACCTTACCAACAACAACAACAACAACAAAAAACCCAGTTTGATCCCATAATTGGGGTTTGGGGAGGGTAGTGTGTACACAGACCTTACCCCTATCTCATAGAGATAGAGAGACTGTTTTCGATAGACCCTCGGCTCAAGAAACAATGAAAATAAAGCACCAAGTAGCAAAGAATGTTAGCACCAGTGATCACCTTACCAAAGTAGTCAAAAGCAAAAAGTGCTAAAGCTCGTTGGGCTTTAAGATTAAAGTGCAATCCAAGTATGGGCTTTAACGAAAAAAAAGAGCTAATGAAAAAAATGTAAAGCAGTGTAACTACAAAAAAAAGTTCTTTGGACAAAAGAATGGAATTAGGCTATATATATGAAGTAAAAGTCATGTAAAGTAAGTTCAGAAACAATTTTAAACTTCTTATTTAGATGAAAAACATAGTTTATATTTTTAATGGCTAGTTTTCTTATATTTAACTTCTAATTTCATTTTTCCATTTTTTTGACAACCGTGGTGTCCGGGCCAGCTTGCGCGCACCTCGACTAATTCCACGGAATACCTATCACCTCCCACCGGCAACAGATATCAGGTAACTCTGTCCACCAAGGTTAGAACAGATGAGAAGAAATCACTTAGTGTTTTGTCTCTGTTGGAGATTGAACCTGAGACCTCATAGTGCTTAAATCACTTCATTGACCACTAGGTCACACCCTTAGGTGCAACTTCTAATTTCTTAGTGCTAATCACTAAAAGTTCAGTCATATGGCTTTTTTAACAATTAATATATCATTTTGTCAACTCTATTTATTGTCTAGTGCTATGCTCTTAAAGACTGAGCTCATAGGTGAAGAAGAACATATTATAGCACCTTAGCACCTACACTAAAGTGCCAACCATGGGAGGTGACTCCCACAACTTGGTTTCACTGAGCTTCAAGACTTAAGTGTGCCTTAAGCGAGACTTTAACAACCCTACACCTGACATTGTTCTTACTGATCATTGAAATATTCAACAAGAAGATGGAGAGTAAGGACAAGGGGTTATTTATGGGGCTTCACAGTTTGTAGGGTAGGAAAGATAGTTTACAGGTGTATTATCTACTATATCTTACTATATGCAGATGATATGTTTGTGTTATTACCGAGGCAAATCCACTCTACTGTTGTGGTCTCAGGGAACTCTAAGATTGATGAAGTGAAGAGCATTAAATAGCTGGTGGACATCCATAGTTGCAGTATGGGTCCCATCATAAGATGACTTACCAATACTACCGCTGGGTGCGACTTTCAAGGATTGCCAAAGAAAAAAACTGATGGCCGAGAGAGTCAAAAAGAGACTAACAGGCTGTTAGAAGAAATACTTCTTGAAAATGTGAGATAGAGACAGCGATCAAGAGAAATTTGCTTAATCTGCCAACTTACTATGTATCCATATTGTTTATACCAGTACGATTTACAAAGATTGTGCAATATGAAAGACAAAGTTGAGAACCAAAAAGAAACTAAAAGGACGGTAGAAGTAATACTTAAAAGGGAGAGAGACATTGATCAAAGAGTAATTTTTCGTATCTGTCAACTTACTATGTACCAGGAATCATGGCAAAAGATTGAAAAGTGTGAACGAATCTTTTATGGGACACGATAGGGAGGTGGAATGTTCATAGAACTCAACTAGGGAAGTTGATTAAGGGGTTTCGCATGGAAATCAACCATTGTGGAGAGCGATCATAGTTAAAAAGTATGTAGATCAAGTGGGATAGTTAGGACCAATCAGATTATCCATGCTATATGGAGCAACTCTATGGAGGATATAGTGAAAATGTGGACAGATTCTATGAAAGTGTCAAATTTAGGACGGAGGTACTGAAACCCGAATCAATTTCTGGAAATAGAGACGATGTAGTCATATTCTTTTGTATTAAGTTTTCTGATAATATTCAATACTTTCAGCTAGCAGACACTAACACTCGTCCCAATTATAAAGAACGAGGAGAATCCTATAGAAACTACATTTGAGTGAAGGATTGGGAGATGAAGCAGCTTAATAGTTTGCTTACATTACCGCACAAGCAAAAATATCATTTATGGACAAAGGCAGCTGGAAACGGGAAAGGCCAGAAAGATGTTGTACTCATAGTGAAATCATTTTATAATGGACTGCTAAAGACAAGGTAACTTCCCTCACTAATATGGTGCTTTTTACACCGATAGTAACACAAGAAGCTATCCTAACAACAAAGAATTTGAGAGGAAAATGGACAATCCCTGTCACTTCGGTATTTACACAAGGGATGTACTGTTTTTAGAGAATGTATGGTATCTCAATCAGTATTGATGACCGAATGCTCTTTGTAGGGATTTGGATACATATGGGAATCAGCCCATAATATCAGTATATTATTGAATTCATCAACAAAGTAACTAGGCTAAATGAATTATTTCCTCCATTACTCTACTTAAAATATTAAACACTGATCTTTTGGATTGAGAAAAGGGAAAGGAGAAGAATGGAGATGATGTAGAGAAAAGGAAAGAAAAGGAAAGCAGAGTGTTACTTTTCTGTCTTCAAATTGATGGAGTAAGGAAATATAAAAGAATGTGTATTAATTGACACTAATTCCCTTAAGAGTTATTTTGTTCATAATCCTGAGCTTTCTTTTAATGCTACAAAAGTTTCACTACAGCATGTCCTGTTTTTCTTCGTTTCACCCATTTTTGGACAGAACATTGTGTTAACGAACTTAACTCCCCTTTCCCTCCCTTTCTATTCCTAAAAACCAATTCCGAGCAAAAATAAATAAATCACCTACTCTTCTTTCCTCTGACTTAGAGAAGGCTTAGGATAAAGTACTGAGGGAGGTATGTGAAGATGTTTGAAGACTAGAGGTGTTCCTGTTGCATACATTAGGGCTATTAAGGATATGTATGATAGAGCTAAGACTCGTGTGAGGACACTAGGAGGGGACTCGGAACACTTCCCGGTTGTGATGGGGTTGCACCAGGGGGTTAGCCCTCAGCCCATTTCTGTTCAAAGGGAGGTACCGTGATGCATGTTATTTGCAGATGACATTGTACTGATTGACGAGAGGCGAGGTGGTGTAAACGTAAGGTTAGACGTTTGAAGGCAGACCCTGGAGTCTAAAGGTTTCAAGTTGAGTAGGACCAAAACAGAAGACATAGAGTGCAAGTTCAGTGGTGCGACTCAGGTAGTGGATGAAGACGTGAAGTTTAATTCACAAGTCTCTAGGAGAGAGTTTCAAGTACCTTGGGTCAGCTAATACAAGGGAATGGAGAGATCAACAAGGATGTCACACATCGTATTGTGGCTGGATGGATGAAATGGAAGCTCGTTTCCGGTGTTTAGTGTGATAAGAATGTGCCGCCAAGACTTAAAGGTAAGTTCTATAGTGCAGTGGTCAGACCGATTATGTTATATGAGGCGGAGTGTTGGCCAGTCAAGAACTCTCATGTCCAGAAGATGAAGATGACTGAAATAAGGATGTTGAGATGGATGTGTGAGCATACTAGGTTAGATATAATTAGAAATGAAGTTATCCGGGATAAGATGGGCCGGGACAAGGTGGGTGTGGCCCCTGTAGAGGACAAGAGGTGGGAGACGATACTTAGATGGTTCGGGTATGTGAAGAGGAGAGGCACAGATGCACCGGTAAGGACGTGTGAGAGGTTGGCCTTGGAGAGCCAACGGAGAAGTAGAGGCAGGCTGAAAAGTATTGGGAAGAGGTGATTAGGCAAGATATGGCGTTGCTCCAACTTACTGAGGGCATGTCCATGGATAGGAAGGTGTGGAGTTTGAGAATAAAGGTAAAAGGTTAGGTAGCCGAGCGATGTCCTTGTTTGTTACAGTAGCTCTAGTACATCACTTGGTGTCTTTCGTGTATTTTTGTCTTCCCAGACTTCTGTCATTACTTGTTACCTTCGCTTGGGTTTTCCGATTGCATTACCTTGTGTTAGTTTGTATTTTCGCTTGGCTTTCCGATTGGTTTGCTTGTTATTGTCCCTTCCCTTTTATCTTTCCTGAGCCAATGGTCTATCGGAAACAGTCTCTCCACCTTCTTAAAGGTAGAGATAAGGTCTGCATACACACTACCCTCCCCAAACCCCACTTGTGGGACTACACTGGGTATGTTGTTGTTGTTGTTGATGATGTACTCTTCTTTCCTCTCATTTCTAAATATCTTTCAATCCTAAAGTTCTATTAGTACTTTGCCTCCTAAATTATATGTTGAAGACCTTTCCATTTCAACTTATTTCATCATTTTGGAGCCCAGAAGTCAAGTTTTCATTTGAATTAGTTAATAGTTGAGTAATTCTAAATGTTTGCTGTCATTTCATATAGTTTATAGTTACGCTAATGAAATAGTTGACTTACTTTTTTATTGTTAAAAAAGTAAACTTGTGGGACTACACTGGGTATGTTGTTGTTGTTGTTGATGATGTACTCTTCTTTCCTCTCATTTCTAAATATCTTTCAATCCTAAAGTTCTATTAGTACTTTGCCTCCTAAATTATATGTTGAAGACCTTTCCATTTCAACTTATTTCATCATTTTGGAGCCCAGAAGTCAAGTTTTCATTTGAATTAGTTAATAGTTGAGTAATTCTAAATGTTTGCTGTCATTTCATATAGTTTATAGTTACGCTAATGAAATAGTTGACTTACTTTTTTATTGTTAAAAAAGTAAACTTGTGGGACTACACTGGGTATGTTGTTGTTGTTGTTGATGATGTACTCTTCTTTCCTCTCATTTCTAAATATCTTTCAATCCTAAAGTTCTATTAGTACTTTGCCTCCTAAATTATATGTTGAAGACCTTTCCATTTCAACTTATTTCATCATTTTGGAGCCCAGAAGTCAAGTTTTCATTTGAATTAGTTAATAGTTGAGTAATTCTAAATGTTTGTTGTCATTTCATATAGTTTATAGTTACGCTAATGAAATAGTTGACTTACTTTTTTATTGTTAAAAAAGTAAACTTGTTTCGTTCCTTTTTCTCATTTCTCATTTCTCATTTTTTTTTGGAGCCCAGAAGTCAAGTTTTCATTTGAATTATNTAGCACATAGTTGCAAATAAAATAACTAATCTAATACTCCCTCCGTTTCAATTTATGTGAACCTATTTCCTTTTTGGTCCGTGCCAAAAAGAATGACCCCTTTCCTTATTTGGAAACAATTTACCTTTATGCAATGATTTATAGCCACACAAAATATATGTGCTTCATTTTACACCACAAGTTCAAAAGTCTTCTCTCTTTTCTTAAACTCCGTGCCCAGTCAAATGGGTTCACATAAATTGAAACGGAGGGAGTAGTTGAGTAATTCTAAATGTTTGCTGTCATTTCATATAGTTTATAGTTACGCGAATGAAATAGTTGACTTGCTTTTTTATTGTTAAAAAAGTAAACTTGTTTCATTTCTCATTTCTCATTTTTTATTGCTTTAGGCAATCCCTAGGATAACCACCAATTTCCCTAAAAAAGCTACTGATATGCAAGAAATTAAGGGTTAAACTATCAGCCACCTTACTAGGAAGTGCCACTAGATAGCTGGTAGCATTTTCAGTTTTCAAAATAGCAGATGACACAGAGATATCTGCTCTAGATCCTCCATAAGAAGGTTATATCTGTAAGTGCTAACAGAAAGGACACTCAGATTATTTGAGGTTACTGATATTCCAATCAAAATTATGAGGCATTCAAGACCGTGAGCATAATCCTTACAATGTCTTTACTATCATCCCTCACATCAAGGCGTATAAGTATCAAGCAGCATTCAGTATCTCTTATATCTTATGATTAGAAGTATTAGCATGGACTTCTAAAGCATACTACATTTTGCAAAATATACTGCAGAGAATCATGCAATTTACTGAAGGATTCTGTAGAAGTGTTTACACTAGATAAACTCAGAAACCACTCAATGTTGGGAGTGAAAATCCAATAATAAGCCCATCTCAAAAATGGTGTTATAGATTTATGCTAAAGCCCAAACCCTCAAGCTGTTTAGCATAAAAAAAAAAAAAAAAAAAAA